TCTGTTGGACTAAAGACACTGTCAGGAGAGACTTTTTTAATCCTTTCACTGAAGTTGTGCTCCTGTTATAGTCCTGTGTCCACGCCTCCTTTTAAGATGCTATTTATTTTACAAGCAAACAGAAGTGAGTTCTCACTTCTGAGAAGAACTGAAAAGAACTGAGGAGCTTCTTAAAACACAAGCAAGATCTTGCTCACAAGGATGGCAGTAATTTCCCACTTCATGTTCTGTATCAAACATAAATCAACAACAAATCATCATAACAGTCTGCATGGTGTTTTTTAGGTATTGCTATTAGCTCTAATCTTGCAGTAAGCTGGAAAGGTTGGTAGGTGCTATGTAACTTCTCAATGTGATTGTCAGGGCCTAACAACTTGACATTTGTAAGTTCTGAAGAGAAACATATAGAAAGAGTGAAAAAAAATAGTTCTGGTGCTAGGACCACTCTTGAAAAGCACTCACTGACCATTCTAAATTGCACTGGACTGTATGTGAAGACATAAAAATGCAAAGACTAATTTTGTACACATAAATGCTGAAATGAAAGTAAAACCTTGCAGCAAAGCTGCATTCTCTCTGAATAATCTCCAGTTCCTTTTTTTGTGACACCAAAGAAAGCTGGCACCATCTGCCCCATCTTTTTCACCAAGTTTCATTGAAATAGAGCCAAAGACTGCCTATTACCCTTGTTGAAGAGTGAGAAGAGCTGGGAAGTCATAAAGTGCATTATCTGCATTTAATGTGGTGCACAAGCTCATTGCTTAGCCCTATCAAATCCATCTCTCTTCCCAGGGCCACTGGTTCACCAGAAGCTCTAAGGACTCTGACCATCCCTGGCTCTCCAAATCAGCTGCTCACCCACTGACTGCAGCTGCTCCTTCAAGAGCTTGTTTTCCAGTCTTACTCAAAGATGAGACTGATTCAGGCTTTCCCAGCTGTACAGCCCAACTGACTGTCACACTTCTCATGTGGTGAAGTTCAGAGGTCTAAAGATGTGCACTGGCAAGAACACAGAACTTGGCAGTGTTTAATTATTAAGCTGCTTCAGTGCAACAAACACAATCAATAACGTCTTATAACTTAGCTTCTTGTGTAAACACTGTAGCAAGTGTTCATCAGTGAGGTATCATCTTACTGCACATGCCACCGTACTTGCCATGGTGATGAATACCTTAAGAGTGAAGTGTAAGTACTTCAGGGATGCAATTTTTAAGAAGTTTTAAGTCAGACAAATGGAACCATGGAGTTGAATCAACCCAAGTCACAGAGCTGTAAAGCCAGATATAACTCAAGTTGCACGTCCTCCTCAACAAATCACCACAGGTGTCTTGTGCACGCCTTTGTCAGCCCTTTGAGAACCTCAGTTACCTCCTCTTTAATGCAGTGTCTGAGTGCTTATGGTGCTCAAGCTCCCCATGCAATTGAATAATTAAAACAATTACATTTCTTAATTTTTAGGTCTTCATACTATTACTTTACCTTACCATGAGATTCCTGGATCAGCGAACTCTTAAGAGCTCATTGAGATCATTACAGTACATTCCTGAAGAGAGGAAAAGAGAAAATATATTTTAAAAAGTATAAAGAAGAAGGAAGAGGTACTATTTCAGTACTTCAAGAGCCCTTCCCTAGGATAATTTCACTCCCTGACTTTTCAGCTCTCACTACATGTGCTCTTGCTCTGGCAAGTCTTCCCCACATGCAGTGCAGTGGAGTTGCTCTTAATGTGCAGAAGAGCTCAAAAAAGGCTGTTCTGTCACTGGCAACTGCTGGGCCTGTGTTAGTATCTCACTGCTCCCCTGTCTTGCTGCTGAGGAGGTGACAAGGTCTTACAGTGCTAAATCACTGAAAGGATTCCCCCACCATGATATGCCCAAATAATGGAAGTTTGTGGCTAAGCGGAGGTGAAGTTCATTGCAGTTCTGTTAATGAAAGGAAAGCTGAATTTCACTTTTTTTATTTCATCTCAGCAATGGAGAATCCTGCAAGCCATAGAGAGTGGGTTTTGATTTTTCAGAAGGGGAAACAGATACCTATATTTCACGATTTGGGATTATGTTGTGACATTATGCCTTGTATTATATTATGTTTTCTCACCTGTGTTTAATGGACAGATGGAGTGCTGACCATTGGTCTTAAAAAGTGCTTAAAAATTATTTCACCTCCAAACAAACAAAAAAAAATAAATTAAGAAATAGCTGTTTGTCATAAAAAATGTTTCCTCAGTAAGTGCTGTGCATGTTTGGCAGATTTATATGCATTTATGTTGACAGGTTTCTTGAAATCCCCATGAAAAGAAAACATAGTTTAAAGCCACAGTTTAATGCTCTGCTTCTCTCAAAGGTTGCCTGACACTAAGAGGTTACCATGTTTCATTAAGACAAAATTTCAAAGGATGAAAGCAATGACTGTAATCAAACCAAACACCCAACTTAAAACATCAATTCATCCGCCTCTCACCTGAATTTCGTTTTCTAGGCTATTTCATCTGCAACTACAATGGCATAAATACATAACCTGAGATAACTCAAGGCTTGTTTAGCAGTATATATCTAAGTAAACAACTGCTGAGTACAAAGTACAGCCCCAGCACTGTGGCACAGTCGATGGTGCTCAGGTCTCTGCAGTGTGGCTGCAGCCCCAGCGCTGCAGGACCATGGCATATTTAACTGCAATTATTTAGGGCTGAATTGCTGAAACCAGTCCAAGTGTGACTCCAGCAGGTTCCCAGGTGAGGAACTGGCTACAGGGCAGGGCTTCCCTTCAGCCATTTACCAACTGAAAGGTTGGGAGGCTCCTACTTCCATCTTGCTGCTCAACAACACTTTAGTTATGTCCAGATCAAGTGTGGGCTGCAGCTGACAGCTCCCTAGAGACAGCTGGACCAGCTCACAGCCACCCATGAGAAAACCCCTGGCAAGACTTTGTATTTGCACCTCACAATGCACAAAACTTGTCTTCAGACAGTGAGAACAATCTTGCATAAGAAAAACATGATTTGATAAGCAAAAGCTTATGGTGCATCTCAGAGCTGGACATTCCAGCTCCAAGTGAGAAGTTTCTACTTTGTTTCTGCACATGCCTACTCTCCTTCTTGTTATCTTATTTTCTTCTTCAAGAATTTTAAAGATTTTACCAAAATTTTGTGAACCAAATTATGTTCCTGCTATTTTTTTTTTCTAAATTTCATTTTTATTATCAAGAAGTAATGTGAAGACACGGATAAATCAAAGGAATAGACCTTTTGTCTATCTATTTTTTCACCATACAGTTATACTGGAAAAGAAGGAATTATACAGAAATAGTTGTTTTCTCCAAAGGAAACATGAAGTGTAGTCACTGAAATGTTTCTCTATTAGAAAACTACAATGGTCTAAGCCAAATGCTTAGTACAAGTCTTACCAAAAGGAACCAAATAGAAAACATTTAGCCCAGTAAGACTCACAACTATTTACATGTATAATACAGATATTTCAGCATGACAAGCATTAGTCAACCATTTTGCCTCTGTCCACAAATAAGTACACACAGCTGCTAGCTGTCTGAGAGAGTGCTGGGGCTAAGCCCTTGAGATAACCCACTTATTCAGATCCCTAAAAACAGATTTAGGTGCCTTAAAAGAGTCTTCTAAATTTGGGAGCACTGTCCCAGATGTCTGGGCTGATACAGAACTGTAAGAAATTAAATACTCCCTCATCCCACCACAATAAAGGAACAATATCAGACCCACTTTAAACTTAGATTTTGCCTTTTCCTTGGGTGTACTGTACTTCAAGGAGTTAATGGCTTTATTTATATCTGGGACACTGTCTCTGTCTCCTTTCCTTCCCTGCTCAAAAACTTCCACCATATCTGAAACTGATATACTACCTGCAGAAAGTCCTCTGAATTTTTTTCATTATCTCCATTAGCATTTTGCATTTTTATGCCTTTGATTCATGTGTAATTGGCATTTTTCCCTTTCTTCTCTTCAGTGGGCTGTGCTTACCTCTCCTCTTTTCATCCACATAATGCCCCAGGTAGTTTTAGCCTTTCTGTTTCACTTCCTGCTCTTCCACATTTCAATATTTCTTTACTTCAGCTCATTGTTCACTGCTTGTCAGCAAGGCTTCTATCTTTTCACACATGGAGGCACACTAAAGGCAGTCTGATTTGAAATGTCACCTATAATCTTGTTTTTCATTCCAAGAATTTTATGAATTCTTACAAAATTTGGAAAGCCATGTTCTGCAGTCAGTTTGGTAACATAAATCCAATATTCCTCTCAGCAGTAACTCCAGATTACAACGGTATGTACATAAAAAACAAAAAAACACAAACCAGCTTCCTGAACTAAAAATGTATTTTCTAGTATAACATTCTTGTTCCATCAGAAAAAAAAAATTTAAAAATAGTGTAAATTAAGGCTTTTCCTTGTTTATTATATGGAAGACATATGCAAGAAGTTCTAATATGATAATGTAGGAATGTATCGGTGTTCATATTTTTATAGTAATGCCCAAGAAGTCCAGGAAAAATCATGGATCTTTTTTTGCTAAGAACACTAACAGCTACACATGCTGAAGAAGAGATAGTTTCTAATCACAACATGATTAGCAAAACAAGGCAAGTTCGAGATGAAATGTAAAATGAGCTCGTCAGGAAGCCAAACAGATTCCTTGAGTGGAATGTGTTGTCTGAAAAACTCATTCCTCGTCTTTGCCAGCTCAGATCTCTCTCACACAGAATCTGATTTAAGCTTCAAACCATATAAAACAGAGGGAGTTTTTACTGTTTTCTCTCTTTTTCTGCTATGATTTAGTGTCTACTTCTCTTTGAAACTGAAGCTCTTGCTGAGAACTGCTGGAGCCATCAGACCATGTTGCAATTTTAGTATCTGGAGAAGTAAGGTAGGGAAAAAAATTCAACCATCTTTAAAATGCATATTGTTCTGAATATTGATAATCAGAAGGAAAAGAAAGAAAAATGGTAAAAAAAAAGGTTGGGATGGGGGAAAATTTTCAAAATCCTTCTCTACCTTGGGTTCCTATACTAGAATTAATCTGAAGGAGTGTTCTGACTCAATCTCGTCAAATTAAAGAAGACAGGAATAGATACATTTTCAGAGAAGGGTTCCAGAAGGACAAAGGTTCCTGCTTGTACAGAGCAGTCCCTGTTTCCACAAGTCCTGCTTGGTGAGGGTGTGCAGTCTGGAGATGCATTGAGAAGCAAGAATTTTATTCTCAATCAATGTGAACTGTATTCATTTGGACTAGAAAATCTTTTCTTGCAGCTGCTTGTCCGATATGATGTCTCTCTATCACCTACAGTGTTTCTCTACATGTACAGGCTCACAGAAGAAATCAGTCCAACAGCCTCTCAAAGCAAATATGATCCCACACAAAACTTGCTGAAACATTTCCTGATGCAGCTGTAAATCAAACAAAGGGAAAAGAGCTGTAATTAATCTTAGAACCAGAACAGCTGCTTTCAAAAGACACAAAATTGTCCAGGAGTCTGGGATTTTAACTGTCTGATGGAGAGCAGAGCCCTCAATGTTGGATTCATTTCATCACCAATAAGTGCTCAGCCAACCATTCATATATTCATATTCATCCAGTCTATGCCATTTAAACCTGTACTTCAGTTATGTGAAAAAGCATAATCAAGACAAGAAGGAAAGCTGGGTTTTAAACTCTCAGCAATGGCTTTACAATTCATTTGGTGATCAAGACTTTCTTGGAGTCCAAGCTCCTAACTCATATCTGTACATAATAATCTCAGCTTTTATTTGGGGAATGGAAAATAAGTTTGCAAGTTTCTGGCCCCACAAGTTTCTGTGGCTTGGGAAGATAAGAGGAAATATGTACAGCCTAAGGGTTTCCAAATCAGAAAAACAAATTTAAAAAACCTCAGAGGTGATCTGCTTTAAAATCCCATGATTTATAATCGGCTCTGGAATTACCTTTGGCCTCTGACTTAATTACTTTTGTAAACATAGACTATAAATACTTCATTTCCCAAACAAACTTAACAGGAGCCTCAGTTCTCATCATCCTAAGGTTTTTCTGTCATACAACTTTTGACTAATTCCACTGTAAAAATGGCCTGTACAATATTTTTAGGAGTGTTTCTTTAACATCTGCTTATTACAAGACATTTTCATATACTGTTGAGGGACTATAAAATCACCATAATTTATCACTGATGCAAAATAAGGCTGTGAATAAAACACCTAAATAGGTTGTTTTATTCTTATTCCTGTTCTCAGTGAATATTTGGCTTTGAAAAGCAGAAATCATAATAATTTTAATGCAAATTAAGTTACCTTATTCCCTCTCCACCACCACACAATCAAATAAAGTGGCAAGGGAAATTACTGCAATTCCCTGAACTTGTTTTGCTATGCACAGAAACTTCTGAATACATATCATGTGAGGCAGTAATTAAGTTCCTAACTTATTTACTTCTTCTATTGGGGCTGCTTCATCTGAGCCACAGTCTTTTGGCAGGAAATCCAAATTTTCATCTATTATGAGATGCAGAATATCCTGAGCTGTTCTAGCTGCTCACAGTTTAATTTAGATATTAACCATAAACACACCTGGGATTAGACAATGGCTATGCACTGCCTAGAAATAAAGAGGCTATAGAAATCCCTGTGAAAAATCTGGCATGAAAACATAAGCATTGTTCACGAAGAACACAAAACAGAGCTTACTTCCAGAGGGATTTGAAGTATAAGGAATGTGAAAGAAGCAGAGGCTGGAGAACTGCCTTTGCTTTACACAGGTCCCAAACAGGGATTCAAGAGAGCAAGTGGGTTTTGCAATTCCACAGGCTCTCAGCATCTCCTGAAAGGCTCTAAGATGAATATTTCCAAGCAAGAGAGAGAATAAGATATCTGGCTGAGGGTTATTGTTGTGACCAGCCACATTGTGAGAGGAGGAACAGCAACAAAGGATAAGAATCAAAAGTCGCTGCATCACAGCCTCCCACCTGTGTACTGAGACCAGATTCTCCCAAAGACTATACAATTTTAAAAATTTTACAACAATCAGGCCAGAAATGTAAGGGCATCAAGTTTCACTGGAGAAATGATACTTTAATAGAAAGGGCTTGTATTTTTTCTCAATTGTCTTGCTGTTCTGCCTAGTTTTTTTGAAAGCATGGGCTGATTGTAAGCAGAGATTCTGCCTGCAGACCATGCACACACTTTCAATATTCTTCCAGAATTAAAAAAAAATCTGCAAAGGTGATTTCAGATATGGAAGGCTTTGTCTGTGTGTTCCACCACTACCCACATGCCCTTTCTCCTGTAACTTCCATCTTATTCTGCTCATGAAGAAAGTAAAATTTATTTTAAATAAGAGCATCTATAATAACTATTATATAATAACTCTGTCATGATTTTACAAACTTATCCAGCCATATCTCCTTTATTTGTTTTAGCTGAAAGGGCTGTAGTTATATTTTAGCTTATTAGTGTTACAGTCATTTCCTTTTGTGCTTATATTTGTGCCTGGGATTCCTTGATGTTTCTAACAAAGAGAGGCTAAGAAAATCAGATTTAAATACTCATTGATACATAAAATTTTATTAAAAAAAAACTTAACAAGTGATGAAATACTATATGATTACATTACTATTAAAAATACAAATTTCTACTTAGAAGTTTATTTACTTTGTTTCCATTACAGATGTTTTGACAACTTTATTAAGAAACTCCCTTGTTCCCTCATTGTTTAGCTCTAATTGCCAAATGTGTGTTACTGCTAAATTAGACTGTTGTTGCTATGAAAATAAAGCATTCTCAGGATAAAGCCCAGTTATATCAGTAAAAACACCATCACAAAATGTAAGTAAATACTCTGAAATGAGAAAGAACACCATGGACGTGAGGTTAGCAGGATTCAGTCCAAGCTGTGGACTTTGGTCTGTTACAGAAGAGACTGTCAGACTAGGTTTTCCAAACCAGGACGACCTGCAGTGAGTTTGATGGAGAACTGCCAAGCTGGGCTGGCTGGGGGCAGCAGCCCTGTGAGAAGGGCACTTTGCAGCCCCAGGGGTGACAGCAGCCAGCTGCAAAAGGAGCCAGAGCCAGGGCTGGGGGTGAGGCCAGCACACTGCTCCAAGCGGCACAGGGCGGGTGGCAAAGCCTGAGCTCCCAGAGACAAGGACAGGAGTGTGGCTGAGGTCCCAGGCAAGGCCAGTCATGGGCACTAAGGCCCAAAGAGTGGCCCCAGAGCCTGGCACAGGCACGCACCGAGAGCAGAGAGGCTCACACTGGAGACAGGGAGAAAGCTTTGCACTGGGAGGGCAATCAAACAGCAAGGATTGCCCAGAGAGCCCTTTGCAGCTTTTCCACAGTCAGAATAAATCCCTGAACATCCTGGTATAACCACACTTCTGAGCCAGATGGGAAGTGAAGGTGCCTTCCAGTCTGATTTCTTATGAGAACCTATATTTATGTAAAATTTAAGTTACTATTTAACTTCATCTTAATTGTCATATTTCAAACATGAGTGCAAAAATGTGTATCAGTGGCATTTTACTTACACCACTCAAGAAATTGATTAATACTGATTTACCTTTTTTATATCATTTCTACAGACAAGTGCTGGTACAAAGAGGAGCAAAGAGCAGACTTGTATCTTAATATTCATTTTTCTTGCATTGTATAACCTGTACATGATACAGTGTTTTTAATTGTCTTCATGTTTCAAATGGATTTATCCTGTAGCACTTAGACATCTTTTGCATGTATCTTGTGCTCTCCATAGAATACCGTTGTTTAACAACTTAATACACTATCAGATGCTTCAAAATATCATGTATTTCCCTACCAAGCCTGTCATTTTTCCCTTGGTGAGACAAGTGTTACAATGGCTATTTAATTATAATAGAAGGTAACTGATTGGCTTCTTTGCATTTATCAGAATGAAAATGTTTCTATTAATTTGCTGCTTTGTGCTTTGGCATTGCCACTGATGTGTGCAAAGAGCTCTGATGAGAATACAGAGGACCCTGCTACCTCAGTGGATGGGGGAATGTCATCAGGAAAAGAGAAACACTTGCATTACCCAGGTGACAATGTTGTACTCTCGTACTTGTAACCATAAACCTGTAGCACATGAATAAAAACTTCTCCATCCTTTTTCTGCCTCACACTCATCCTTTAACATCCTGATACCTGATACCAATTTAGAAATTCATTTCAGAATGGATTTCCAGCACACTAATAAATGTTCAGGGCAAAAATGGGAACGCATTGATAAGGCAGGTGGAAGAGGACCCCTCTATGCATTTTTGGCAATATATGCAGCCAATAAAATGCAACCAATAACTGCAGTGCAGACTGGAAGAGGACCCCTCTATGCATTTTTGGCAATATATGCAGCCAATAAAATGCAACCAATAACTGCAGTGCAGACTGCATATACCATGAATAAGCACACTAGATTCATAATGCAGGTTATCAGCCTCTGGATCAGGCTGCACCTCTAATTTCATATAAGGGGAAATAAATTTATATATTGTCAAATACTAAATACAGCTTCTATATCTCATGATCTACGTACCTGAAACCTGAATAACACAGAACATTGACCAGTCTAGCTGCATCTGGTTTTCTCGGTATTTTTCTCTAAAAAAGAATTTTTTGGAAAATAACATTAAGAACATCAAATCCAACCACTAATCCAGCACTGCTAAGTCCTCCACTAAACCATGTCCATAAAAGCCACATCTACATACCTTTTAAATACCTCCATGGATGGTGAAAATGACTGTTCCTGAATGAGTGCAGGGCTTCATCCTCATCAGATTGCATCCTGTTCCTTCATACATCAAGATCAGCTTAAATACTCACCCATTCATCCAGAGAATCTGCAAAGTGAGCAAGCATCATTTCCATACCATCATTCAGCCCTTTAATAAAAGTACCAAACAGCATTGCAGCTAGGAGAGACCTCTGAAGGTCCCTCATGACACAGCTGTGCACCACTCAGTGCACAACTCATATCTACCTCTCTGAAGCCTCCAGTTAGTTTTGAAGCCCTTTCATTATTTTATTATTTATTACTTTCATTAAAATTTTCCATTTTACAGATAAAAGAAAAAGCCTGAGTTATAAAAATCGGGTAGGAGAAAAATTTGGATTGAAATTTGAAATGTAGAATTATGAAAGTCAAATAAAATTACTTAACAGTCATGCAGTGGGATCTCAGGTATACAAATAATAGATATTGTGTGTAAAGCTCTAAACCCTTCATTCAGTAAATAAGAGCTGCTTTTCTCAACCTCAAAGACAAGTTTTAAAAAACAGCTACTTAATAAACATTAATTCATGTGCACCTATGAATAAGAAACCACTTACCCTCTTTGTGATTCTATTCACAATAAGCAGAACTATTACCATATTTTATCATTAAGCTATCATGAGTTTTGGAAATAAAATCTGCTTGCTGGGAAATGAGGCTTTCATAAAGGAAAGGCTTATTTAAAGTTCATTACATCCATAGAAGGCTATCTAAAATGTCCAAGTCCAGGCACTCTGAAATTACAGGGGTCATCTTTGGAGGAACCACTGTTGCTAGGAGACTCAAGCATCAAAGTACCACAAATTTGTAATTTACCCTTTTTTTGTCAGAGATGTTGATGATAAATGTACTCCCCCTGAATGCAAAGGCTTTAACCAGGCCTGCATCATTTTGCAGAAAAAGGGGGGCCACAACCTCACCTTACTGTGTTCTAAGCACTCCCCAAATTCCTGGATTCACAGTAAAACAGGAGTTGCACATTTCCTACTCTTGGAGTAGAAGTGTTTTGCCATATCCCTTTCCCATGTCATCCTATTCCATTAACAACTCTCAAAGGCAACTGGCCCTAATGGCCAAGATAAGGAGAGTCAGCATTTAAAGGTCTGTGATTTAAAACATTGCCCAGTGGAGGAAAAGCAAGGGGAGTTTGGGGTGAGCAGCTGAATTTGAAAATAGCTCAGACTGCATGAGAAGATCGAGCCATATGTGGTGGAAAAGATGTTTGTGGATTTTTGCCTGGATGTAGCTATAGCTTCAGATGCACAGAGGCACCAGGATGCACCCCTGGATGCAATAACCTATTTGCAACTGTTGACCCTGGGGATCTGGTATCAGAAAACAACCACCTTTTGACTGGGCAAAAGAAAATGTTACACCCATCTTCAAAACAGGCAAGAAGAACTCAGGAAAACTACTGGGCAGTCAGCTTCACCTCCATCCCTGGAAAGGTGATGGAGGACAACATTCTGGAAGTCATCAAACAGCATGTAAAAGAAAAGAAGATCTTTGGGAGTAATCAGCATGGACTCACCAAGGGGGAATCACACTTGGCCAATCTGACAGCCTTCTGTGATGGCATGGCAGGGTGAAGGAAGAGCAATGGTTGTTGTTTACCTTGACTTCAGCAAGGCTTTTGACACTACCCTGGGATTCTGGGATTCTCTGAGCACATCAGTGCAATACTTTCAGTCTTCCCAAGGTAGCAGTCCCAGGACACTGCCAGCCTCATAATGAACAAATACTTACAGAAGTTATTTTGAAGAAGTGAAATGAAAGTGCTGAAGGCAGTCTGCCCTTGAAATGGTTGCAGAGGCTCGTGGACACCTTGACTGCAAGATTACTGAGATGGTTCCAGCACAAATGAACAAATACAAAGTAGAAAATAATGGAACAAGGACCATCCTCATAAGGACAGGTTGTTCATGACTCTCTGTACCAAGTCCAGGAAAATTCTAACAGCAGTGTGAATTAAAAGAAAAGAGGAAAAAAAAAATGGGTGGGGGAAAGAAAAAAGGCCAGAAAGTGTTGCAACTGTAACAGAATAACATCTGAGACACTTCTATACTAAGACACTGATGACCTGATACTGAAATAGACTATTATGGGAGGGCCTTCAAGATCCAAGGAACAGCAAGGAAAGAAGGGGAAATGCCCAGACAAAGACATACACAGTTTCACAGGTAACTACTTATTTGAACTGATCTCTCTGGACAATTTGAACTGATCTCCCTGGATGGGAGACAGGCTTTTATTTACACAGTCTGGTTACCAAGTTCTACCAAAATGACTTGAAGAATTTCACTACATGTGTGTTTTCCTTGATTAGTAACAGGTCTGAATATGTATTTCTTTAACATCAAGCCAAATTTTGATTATTCCAAGCCAGCTGCTTCTCAGGGTACCAAAAAAGATTCTATAAATTATTTATTCACATGATAGGGAAAGTGTGTTTCTTCCATATCCATATGAATTATTTGGGGTTGGAACTAGATGGTCTTAAGGTCCTATCCAACTCCAAATTAAGTGAAAATCTATACACAGATCAGGACTATAACAGTCTGTAACCCTGAATCCACCAAAAGCTTGACTCAAAGCTATTCCTTGAATAGTACTGTAATCATTCTTTGCTCTTTCAGTGATACCTCTGAGTCTCCAGTGAGTGCACAATACAGCACTTTCATTCTCTGTAATAACCATAAAATCTGCAAAATAATAAATTCGTGAAATGGGCATTTGTTTGCTCCTCCTGTATTATACAGCCAGGACTTCCTCCCCAGGTAACACACCACTGCTGATCCCTCGAGATGGAAAATTTAGGGCCTTGCCTTCCACCTCAATTTTAAGCCATCCCTGGCTCAGCAGCTCCAGACAGTTGTCCAGATCAGGAACAGAAAAGTTCTGGTCTTGGTCTTATCTCTGCCCTCCCATCGCTGTGGTCTGCAGAACACAGGGTTTCAGCAGCAGCATAACAAGTCCTTGTTGCCAGGAGATGATATCCATACCTCAGATTTGCAGATGTCTACCTATCCAAGCATGTGCCAAATTACATTTAACAGTGCCAGAGTCATAAAGGAGTTGAATGCTAATTCCAATCTCACACTCTGTCAAGATGAAAACACACTTGAGGGATCTGTTGACGTTTGGTTCCCCGTGCACACCCCAATTCTTTTTTCCCTTGCTGTCATTCACATCTTGGCTCATTTGCATCTTGAACATAATGATAATCAGAGCAAGACTACAGGGCATGAACTCACTCCATATTTACTCCTAGTCCCAGAAAGGTGATCAGTTCCCATAGTGAGCAGATTTCAAAGTGCTGCCATTTCAGCACCTCTGTGTCAGGTGTCTTTTGACCTCATAGTAACTCTGCAGGGACTTGGGGTTTTGTCAGCATGAGCTCTGTAGAGCTTACCTGTAATTATGAATCCATTTACTTAGTACAGTTCTTGACATGTATTTTTTAATTTATAGATGTTTTAAAGATAATTACTTAGTTTCATTAAAAATAAATCTGAAATGGGAATACACTGCTACAATGGTCATATTTCACATTAATAAAAAGAGATATTGACATATTTTAGATGCAAACAAACCAGGGAGATATAGTGAGTATGGCCACTTAGGCTGATTGAAAGATGATTGAATAATGGTCATATTACTGTGAGAAAAAGTGGCTTCCCTCTTGAAAAATAATTATGTTTTTCTGTCAAGCTGCAGCAAACTAGGTGGGAAGCTTAGATTGTTTTGCTCAGTCAAAAGATGACAAGAGTATGGATGTAGATCTGTACATTTAATTTAGGTTCATTTTTTAATAGAAAACTGCTATTTTAAAACAAAGCCAAAGTTAACTCCAAATTCACTGAGATGTTGTATTCAGATATTTAAGTATTTTCCTCCATTGTTTACAACCTCAACTATTTACAAAGTTGTAAACTGAAAACAGTTTTGTTATTCTCCCATAACTCAGTTTTTAATTGAATGTATTTCACCCACAAAATAATATCAGTCTGGCTCCATTGGGAGTATAAAAAAATAATCTAAAATTTATTGTGTTCACAACCAATGATTTTCATCAGTTACACAACCCTGCTCCATTTTGCTCCAAAAGACATCAAACATTAGTCTCCAAGGATATGGCACCAAATGACCAGGCTCTTTGATTTCTCTTGGGAAATCAAAAAGCAATAATATTGGTCTATTCTCCTAGAGTGGTCAGGAGTAAACTTATTATCTGTGTTCAGATAATAACTTTCAGAATGTGCCATCATTTTCCATCATACACGTTTCCATTCCAAGCAGCTTAGAAAGGGAATATTTTATCTTGAGGCTTCTTTTTTTTCTACACCCTGAGCAAATGTTAAACAAGATTATGGCAGTACCTGAGAAATGAGCCCTTTTCTCCCCTGGCTTGCAAATCTGGTATCCCTCATCACAGTGTCTTACTGGGGGCTGTGGGGGCTGTCTTCCTTCCTGTTTGCCAGCTCTGGGGCTGGAGAATTGCAGGTTAAAATCCAGGTAGCTTGGTTCTGTAATAGCTCTACAGAAAGAGATGTTAACCTGGAAGCTACACAAGTAAAACCACCAACTCAGGCAGTGAACACACTGCTACTCTGCTGTGCCAGTGCTATATTAATGATGCAGCATCTCACAGCTGCAGCAGAAGTTCCTCAATTTGAATGGAGCTAAAGGTGAATCAACTAGTTTAGATATAGAGGAATTAGAAATTAGTTCAAAAGATCCTCTCAGACTAATATACCTGAAAAAACTGTGAAACATTTTTCCAAAAACTGCTCCAAGCAGAATGTGAACTTTGTGTAACGATCATGATAGATGTTTTACCTTTACAGTCTGATTTCCCAAACCAAAACTCACTTGAAATGCCAGAGAGGATCTGAAATGTCTTGGTTTAATATCAAGAGAAAATGAGATCTGAGAAGTCACCGGAGGCATAGAGCTCTGGCAGTGTACTGTCCCCTAGAATATATTATTTCAAATTATCAGACAACTTTGCCACTTCAGAGTTGAATGCGTGGCTAGCAGAGATGTAAACAAAGGGAGCTTGCTAAAAACCAGGTTATTGGACAGAAGCTGAGCATCACTGGGGCAATCTGCCCCTCTGCCCTCCCCACTGGAGGCATCCACCTCCCCACTCATGCTGCTGGCTCTGCACAGCAGTAGAGGCAAG